AAGCAACCTGGTTTTCCAAGGTCGACTTGGCTTCGAGATATTATTAAATCCCGATAGAGCCAAATGATGTCCGGAAAACAGCATTTCAGACCAGGTATGGCCACTACGAATTCGTGGTCATGCCATTCGGACTAACCATTGCACCCGCAGCGTTCATGAAGATGATGAACGGGATTTTTTGGGATTATTTAGACGAATTTGTCATTATCTTCATAGATGACATACTTGTCTATTCGAAAGATCGGGAAACCCATCAAAGTCATCTAAGGGCGGTCCTAGAACGGTTAAGGGAACATAAGCTTTATGCTAAGCTAAGCAAGTGTAGCTTTTGGCAAAGGAAGATCAGATTCCTTGGACACATCATCTCGGATAAGAGTGTCTCGGTTGATCCAGAGAAAATAAAATTCATCAAGGAATGGCCACGCCCAAAGAATGCCACTGAGGTAAGGAGTTTCCTCGGATTGGCTGGCTATTACAGGAAGTTTGTGAACGGGTTTGCAAGCATGGCTCAAGCTATGACTCGGCTAACCGGGAAGGATACGAAGTTTACATGGGTGGAGGCGTGTGAGGAAAGTTTCACTGGGTTAAAGAAGGCGCTTATCAGTGCCCCAGTCCTGGCCTTGCCTGAAGCGGATGAACCCTATATGGTTTACACTGATCCATCTATAACCGGGCTAGGATGTGTACTGATGCAGAAAGGCAAGGTGATTGCCTACGCTTCAAGACAGTTAAGGAAACATAAGAGGAATTATCCGACTCATGACTTGAAAATGGCTGCGGTGGTATTCACACTCAAGATATGAAGATCATATCTTTATGGGGCTATAGTGCAGATTTACCCCGACCACAAGAGCCTGAAGTATATCTTCACTTAGCCAGAATTAAACCTGAGGCAAAGGAGATGGATGGAGCTAGTGGCAGATTATGACCTCGATATTGCTTACCATTCGGGGAAAGCTAACCTGGTTGCGGATGCACTAAGCCGAAGGCGGTCAGAAGTGAACGTGGGAAAAGATGCTGAAAGTTTGATCGGCATGATCGGGACTTTGCATCTACATGTTCTGTCCGATTGCTTAGAGCCATTAGGTTTGGGTGCGGCTGATCAAGCTGACCTACTTACCCGGATACAGATAACTCAAGATCAGGATGAGAACCTGAGTAAGATGAAGGAGAACAAAAGGAATGAGTACCAGACCTCAAATAATGGAACCATTGTGGTAAATGGGCGGGTCTGTGTACCAAACATGAAAGAACTCAAGGAAAAGATCCTTAAAGAAGCGCACCAGTCCAAGTTCTCGATTCACCCGGGAAGGACCAAGATGTATCGGGATCTTAAGCGATACTACCATTAGGTCGGGATGAAAAGAGATGTGACGGACTGGGTCGCTAAGTGCCCCACTTGTCAGCTAGTCAAGGTTGAGCATCAGGTTCCCAGTGGACTATTGCAAAGCTTGCCCATTCCAGAGTGGAAGTGGGATCATGTCACAATGGACTTTGTGACTGGCTTGCCAAGATCAAAGCCAAAGAAGGATGTGATTTGGGTGGTAGTGGACAGAATTACCAAATCGGCTTATTTCATTGCCATCAGAAAGACAGATGGTGTTGATTTGATCGTGGTTAAGTACATCAGCAAGATTGTCTGGTTACACGGTGTTCCGACAAGCATTGTCTCGGATAGGGATTCCAGGTTCACGTCCTATTTCTGGAGAGCTTTCCAAAAGGCGTTAAGAACAAGGATAAACATGAGCACGGTCTATCATCCGCAGACTGATGGGCAGTCAGAACGGACCATTCAAACCTTGGAGGACATGTTGAGGGCATGTGTACTTGACTGGGGCGGCTCATGGGAAGAACACTTACCTTTGGCCGAGTTTGCCTACAACAACAGCTTCCAAGCAAGCATTGGGATGTCACCATACGAAGCATTGTATGGACGGTCATGCAGAACATCACTATGCTGGACGCAAGTGGGGGAAAGGAGTGCGATTGGGGCGGACATAGTGGAAGAAACAACAGAAAATATCAAGTTTCTAAGAAACAAGATAAAGGAAGCCCGGGATAGACAAAAAGTTATGCGGATAAAAGAAGGAAAGACATTGAGTTTGCGGTCAATGACTGAGTGTACCTTAAAATGATAACATTTAAGGGGCGAGCCAGTACATCTAAAAGAGGCAAACTAGATCCAAGGTACCTTGGGCCGTTCATTATCCTAGAACGAGTGGGAGCGGTTGCTTATAAGTTGGAGCTACCCAAAGAGATGGCCGCATTCCATAATGTGTTCCATGTATCACAACTCAGGAAATGTTTAACGGATCAAGATGTGATTATTCCCGAAGTTCCAACTGATCTAATGGGAAATCTCACGGTTGAAGCTAAGCCAGTCCGAATCATTGATCGGATGGAAAAGCTAACAAGGAATAAAGTGATCAAGATGATCAAGATGGTTTGAGAATGTAACGAAAAGGAAGAAGAAGTTTGGGAAACAGAAAATAGGATGAAGGCTGAATTTTCCGAATGGTTAAAAGATCTTCCAAGAGAAGACGAGCTAGAGAAGGCTGTTCAATCGATAACACTTGTTTCGGATTCAGGGACAAATCCCTTTCACGGGGGGGGGGACTTGTAACGGCCCTGGACCTCGCTAGGTTCGCTGGGCTGGGCCATGGTCGGGAATGGGGAAAGACTTGTCGGATAAAACAAAGTAATCCGTTCCATGGTCCGAAAGGAATGGCTAAGTCCGGGAAAGTTAGGGACTTAGCTGATGAAAAGAGTAGAAGATTGAAGACGGTCAGGAAAAACTAGCTCGGGATGCTTTGAGTCAGCTAGAATAAACAAGTCCGAGCTAAGATCAAATATCCGAGCTAAAATGAGCTGAAAGACCGAGCTAAACCAGCTCGGGCAGCTGATGGACCGAGCTAAAACCAGCTCGGGCAACTGATGGATTCTTAGCTAAAGGACCGAACTAAATCAGCTCGGGCAACTGATGGTGATGGTGAGCTCGGCCCAGCTGGACGGAGTGTTGGTCGGTTGAGTCAGCTCGGAAACTATCATCACTAGCTGGTTGGGTAGTGAAGCTAGCTGGTCAGTTAGTTGAGTCAGCTGGATGGCTGGCGAGAGAATGATCAGATAAAGGAATGATCTCGTACGTACTAAGTGTGTGGCACAGTTATATCCGTACGGATATGACCGTTACCAAATGGGGACGTGGCACCCGTCGGTTTAATAAAACGGTTATGGGCAAAAATCCTATAAATAGCCCGCGGTCATCTTCTTCGCAGATATACAATCTTTTCACGGGATTTTTCCTGAAAGCGCAGAAATATATCCGAGAGAGAAGAAGATTAGCCGAGGGAGAAAAGAGATAAAGCTGGACGTACTTAGCGATTGTCGAGTAACGAGGGAATTACCGGACTGCGAGTAAGGAATCTCCGAGAGAGAAACTTACCAAGGGACGTTCCAGCGATGGAGTCTTCTGCGGACAAGGATCGGGAGAAACACACCGAACCATCCGAATGTACGGCAAAGGTGAGCGCGATGCCGAGTAACTTAGCCGGGATAATCCCTAACTATCGGCTATAGCTGAGATAGTATGGGACAGTTATGCAGTTATTCGGCCAAACTCTCTTTTACATCGGTCATATTCTTATATCTGCTTGCCGATGTGGATAGATCGATCATTATATGGTCGGATCTAGGATGCGTGACTAAGACTTCAGTCTGTCACGACCGGTCAGGATAGTTCTCGATAATCTCAGCTATTGCCCAAAAGCCGCGGTTATTGGTGAACGGTTATGACTAAGGCATATAGTTGAGTATGGCTGGAAGGAATCGGCTATCCGGAGAACTCGGGAACTCGCGGATCCAGCAAGCCGCCAAGACTTGACTGCGGCCGAGATAAAACTCGGGCTTTCCAAGATAGCCGGATGATTAAGGGATTTTTACGGGATAATCTTAAGGGATGGGAATATATTGTCATTGATAGGCGAATGTGTATAACTAAGTAAAAGTTGGATTACTTACGCCTCTTTGATTTCAGGAAAGGATGGTGATCGTGGGAAGGACTGGGTCTAGATGCACGAGACAAGGGCTAGGAAGGATGGGTGGTGATAGACTGGATAGACTAGGTTCGAACATTGTAATAGCCTATAGTGCAGACTCTAGCAATTGTATCGAATCTTTTGTTATATAAATAAAAATCCAGTTTATTGTATAATCTTTTTACATATTGACTCTATTACTTATGAATCTCAGAATAATCGGATAAAGGAACTCGTTTAAAGAATGAACCCTTAAAACAGACTGAATGGAGTTGGGATCTGAGTGGGAACAACCTCTTAGTAGCCGGGATAAGGTGTTTCAGACGTTATACTTGAAAACAGAAAAATATTAACATAAATACTAGCAATCAGATTTTCAAACATTATAGTTTCAGTTTACTCACTGCAAATGATAACCAATTGGTCCCTTGAGCTCATGTATAAAGAATTGCCATTTCTTCCATCCCCATCGCTTCACCTATCTCCAAACCGGCGGTTTCTTCTCTGCTCCGATTACTAAGAGGCTTACTTGTTGTTCTCTTCCATACCAGCAATGGATATGTTATAGTTTATAGTCGCAAGTTCATTCTACACTAAATTAAATGATAAAAACTATTCAGGTAGAGTTCATTCTACACTAAACAAGCAATGTTGCTTGATTTATCCTCATGCACCTACCTGAATGTTATAGTTTGTGCATTATTTAAGCGAATATGCCGATTTTATTTCCTTAGGTTGTCGTATTCTGCAATGAAAACTCAAAACTATCATTTAGGGTCTGTGTATCTTCTGCTATCCATGATGTAAATTTCTCGCTCGACGAAGAGAAGAAAGTCGTCATGATTTGAGCGAGGTGGCTTGACATAGAAGACGAGACCGAGACCATGGGCAAAGACATAATATACATTGTTGCGGAGGACAATGAAGTCACCCGAGTGGATTATGGAAGAAACCATTAACAAGATAGCGCTTTCTTGTAATCTTCTGTTTCCTGTAAGAGCTTTTGATCTAAATAGATTATCTGAGACAAACTTACCAAACAAATTGAAGAACATGATATGACCAAAAGGTAAGAGTATATTCAAATATGATTACTCAAGTTTAGTAGTAAACATCAACAAGCAAACAAAGAAAAACTACAAAATCAATTTTATTGGGACATGAGTATGATTAAAACTCATGTTTCTTCTGTCTGTCTGACTCTGATCAAACTAAGTGTTCATAGACTTTTTCCTGCAATTGTCTTTTTTTCAGATTTTGGCGGTTCATAGACTTGTCTTAGGCTTCGGTTTGTAGGCAATGCGTCTAGTCACAGTGCGCATTGTCACGAATTCCTCTGCAGAAGACGGATGTATCCCGACCTGTGTTTTGTTCCACAACGTTAAATTAAATCTTTAGTTAGAGAAACATCAAGCTGTTGAAATTTAAACCTTAACTGTTCTGAACTATTTTACTTACCGTGCTGTCAAACTGTGCTTTGGTTGCTCCACACTTGAGCGCAATTGCAATCCCCTGCATTGAGCACAATACAAATACACATACTTAAAAACAGGAGACACCACCAGATCATACTCTAATCGACTTGCAAGACTGAGTTCTGATTTATAAACTTTGTACGGGACAACACTTTTCAAACTCTCTCTCCTATGTAGGTTACAAGAAAACTTGCCTGCATGATCTCAGCTGCATCTGGACCGCACATGGATGCTCCAATAACTTTATCAGTCTTCTCATCAACTATAAGCTTCATCAATGTCTTTTCCTGCCGTCTATCACCAAAAGAAAAATGTGATTAGATCAAAGAGGATTCCTGAGACAATGATCAGGTGCAAAAAGGAATGTTGAAGAAAACCAAGAGAAGTTTCTACAAAATGAAAGCTAAGAACTGTGTTTGCACCAAAAGAAAAATGTGATTAGATCAAAGAGGATTCCTGAGACAATGATCAGGTGCAAAAAGGAATGTTGAAGAAAACCAAGAGAAGTTTCTACAAAATGAAAGCTAAGAACTGTGTTTGCCCTTACCAAGGATTTTTTAAATAATTAGAACTTTAAATGCGTGCATACCCAGAAATGGTGTTCTTCATAGGATTAAAGCCTGAAGTGAAAACCAGAAGATCCCCGGTCGCTTTTTCTACTGCCTCTTCTTCGCTGAGACCCACAACAGCTAGTGGTGGTATGCTGGCAGAAAGAGAAGCGAAAAATGTAAGTTAAAAAATGAAACCTCTATGAATGCTTCAGATTGATTTGGTATATGTCTAAAATACGAGTGAAGAATGCTTACCAAAATACAGCACATGCTACATTCTCATAGTCTGCTTTAGTAGGCTTCCCACCAAAAACAGTGTTCTGCAAGCATCAAAACAATCCCATTAAACAAATGGATTACATAGTTTATACATTCACAAACATAAAAGTTGAGAGATTCTTTGGTAGAAACTACTCCTTAAAGGATTTGTGTAAATTATAAGTGTAAGATAAGAGGCACGCACAGCAAAGCAAGTGGCCTCCATTAACGCAACAGGTGTAAGGTTAATTCGGTTTGTAGCATCTCCCACAGCCCATATGCTAGGAATATTAGTGCGTGAGTACTCATCAACCTGAGGACAATGTGCTGAATTAGTAGCGGCAAGAGTATAAGTTTTCCCCAGAAAATCAAGGAAACTTTTCTTCAGGATAAATTATAAAATCTGCAACAATAGGAAAGTTGTTAACCTTCACAGCTCCAGCCTTATCAACTTCAACACCAACAGCTTCTAAATTCAATCTCTTGGTATTAGGATTTCTGCCTGTAGCAAATATAAACAAAATATGCATCCTTAGAAAGCTCCATGAAAATATGCAATAACAAAATTCATCCCTCATAATAAATTCCAAGAGAAGAAGCAAAACACGCACAAACAAACATATTTATTAAAGTAGAGTAGAACGGGAGAGAATTACTCTAATATACAAAAATAGAAATTTGAGAATCATATAACAATTCATAGATACAAAAGTTACCAGTAGCAAATAGTACAACATCTGCCACGAATTCTTCCCCATGAGACGATGTTACTTTTATCCCGTCGTCTGTTTTTATCAACTAAATTGAAAGATACAGTATGTTCAGTTTGAAAAAACGTGTGGAAGGAACTGTGACTAATAATGAGACATGAAAATGCACAATCATACTCAGATACCTGAGTAAAACTAGTTTGCGGATGCAGATTTACACCCCTTCCTTCAAGATTTCTAGCCACTAGTGCCCTCATTTCGTCATCAAAACCCCTGATAAAGTAGAATTTTTAGAGACAAAACAAGCCCAAGAAAATACAGAATGGAGTTTCTGTAAAGATACTGGCAAGAAATAAAAAAACAGAAGCTGATGCCGCACCTCAGTGGAAGTTCCTTCCTGAAGAATAAATCTACTGTACCACCCATTCCACGCCATATTGATGCAAACTCCACAGCAATGTACCTAATTAAAACATAAATAGTAACGCGGATTGAACTATTGATACGACTGACATGCTTAGGTACATCACAAGGAAAACACTGAGGAAGACATTACCCTCCTCCAAGCACTACAGCACGCTTAGGAAACTCTTCCAAGCTTAAAGCTTCATCAGACGTAATAGCCAGCTCCTGTCAAAGACAATTTATTTATAAATATCAGTGGAGTTCCCCTACATAGCAGTTTGTATTATATTGCAAACATACAAATGGTTCTGTTATTCCTACTAAAACCCCTTTCCAAACTTACTTCGATGAAAATGATTTCATTCATACCAAACGCATCACCCTCGTTAACATTATAGATACAAAAAAAGAAACATGGACATAGAAACTTACATGTCCAGGAATATTGGGCTTCTGTGCCCGACTGCCAGTGGCAATCAATATGTGCTTTGCGGTATAGCTTATCTTCGTGCCATCTATCTGTCTCACCTCCACTTCATTGGGACCGACAATTCTTCCTTCACCTTCATACAATTTCACAGCAGCATTCGCCAACAACCGCTTGTAGATATTGTTAAGTCTTAGTATCTCATCCGTCTGCACACAGAGAATCAAAAGACGGTCAACTGGTTATTTCTGTTTGCTACACCACCAAGACATTCAATCTAAGGAAGTATACAAATCACAATAGAAAAAAAAAATAGAATACATACCTTTTTTTGCAAAAGCTTCTTCCACGTGAAGTCGACATTCTCATTTATTTCCCACCCATAATTTCTAGCATCCTGCCAAGAAGATAACCACAACATACGAGATCAAACACAATTTTCTCTCAGTTGACAATGCCTAAAATATCACTTTGAACAGCAATACCATTGTGCACATAATGTTTCGGAAAACGACTAATTAAGGAGGTTGCTTTATCAGCTAAAATAAAAGGCATTGAAATGATAGTTAAAAGGAAAAAAAAAATGTTTTTTTTTCTTACCTCAAGCTCACCACCATAAGTTGCTCCATAGACCAGAATCTTTTTGGGAACACAGCCACGAATAACACAGCTGAAAACCCACAAAAGTATCAAAATGGCATTACTAAAAACAGAAATGCAACTGAGGAAGAAAAAGAGAAGAAGAACAACTTCAGAATACACTACACATCTTTCTTATTCTAGTAGTTAAAAATTCGAAAGATATTGTCTTTATAACAAACAAATAAAAAAGAAAGAAACCATTATCAAGCCATTAACAAGAAACTTACGTTCCACCAACGCCACCAATCTCCTCTGAGCTAATTGGGTGAAACGGAAGCTCACAAATACCAACCTATAACCCATTGATTCAGAACAACACCATATTAATATTATTCAAATACATATCATCATAACAAGGAAGAGATTCAAACATTAAATCACTAATGTATCACCACTATTCCTATAAAAAAAGAGAAATTCACCTTAGCGCCATTGTTAGCGGAAAACCTAGCTGCACGAACACCGCCACTCCCGGCGCCTATGACAAACAAATCAAAATCGTAGTGCGTCGCGTTTGCTTCATCAGCCGCCATCGCCTTATCAAGCTCTCCATCAACAAGCATCTTCCTCGCCATGATTGTGCAGAATAAAAAACTTCCAAACTGAAAAAAAAAACGATGATCAATCAGACGCAAAAGGAATATAAGAATCAAAAATCAAAACCAATTAATAAAAAAAAACGAATCTCGAATCAGTAAAAAACCCGATCAGATCGAAGAGTGAAAATCCGTCGATAACGAAATCAAAACAACGAGAGAGAGGGAGAAGTGTACCTCAAAGATGGAGTTAGAACAGTAAGATCCAGAGAAGAGAGACACAGATACGGGAAAGAAGATAAACAAATGATTGTGTGAAATTGGATCTCTTGCTCACGAGGAAATCATTTTATAAGGAAATAACCAAAACAAACAAAATTAACCATTGATTTCTGAAGCGTTCATACTTTATGATGATGACGTGGATTTAATATTATTCTTTTAATATATAGTATACCAACTTACTGCTCCTACGAACACATATGCGAATTTAATTATTTGATGATCTAATAGAAATTCGACGCGTAAACGAAATGAGAATTTTCAAAACTAATGGTCTAAATTGAACGCTATAAAGCGTATAGGTGTTGTCATGATATCTGACGTGCCTTTTCTTTAAGCCATTGAACTATTGAAGTGTAGTGAGAGAGTGAGAGAAGCTAATTAAACATATGCGAAGAAGAAGAAGCTAACAAAATTAAAACAAGAGTTAAATCGCAAACTAATGATTTTCCTTCGAAACTTAAATTGTAGGAATAATATCAATTCTTGTTCATTATCATATGGCTTGAAAACATCAAGACTTCAAAAGGACCTCTACTACTAATTAACTTACTTGCTTAGTTACTTAAAAGATGTTTTCAACTTTTATGTCTTGACGCAAAATCTACTAATAAATTCTAGGAGTATATATTGATACGTTTAATTTGTTGACAACTATATTTATCATGGAAACATGGTTTGGTTTCAAAATCTATGAAAACTCTGACGACACTTACAAAATCACTGATATATGCGAAGACGAAGGCTTTTGAGCGGCGAATCTAAAAAGCCTCCTTTATCCCTTTTGCCTTCGCCGTAGATCTGCTTCTCTTCCTCCTTGTGTTAGAGGCTCCGACATGCTCCTCCGTCTCCTTCGTCTCGTCCTGCGGTTCGAACTCTTATATCTCTTCCTTGCTTGCTCGAGGACGGCTTCGTTGGGGGGAGGGGTTTCAAGTGTCTTGTTCCCAGAGCGTGTGGTGCGGTGGTTTTGGTGACGTTGATTTGGGTCCTTGGCCTCGAGTGGCTCTGTAGCAGTGACAGGTTTTCTTTTTTTGGAGACGGTTTTGGGTGCCTAGATTGGAATGGGTCGTGAGGACAAACCCTTCCTTATCCTTGCTTCTTCTCTGTCTCCTTTGCATCTGGTCTTTGCGGCGGCTGCTCTTTTCTTTCCCGGTGGTTGTGGTCTGCTCTACGGTGAAGAGGTTTGACACTAGGGTTTCGCGGTGGTTCTGTGGCTGTTCCAGCGCGTCTGTCCCATCGTCAGGCTGTAGTTTGGATGGAGATCTTTGGTAGGGATTTGCTCGGTTTGGGCTGCTCCGGTGACGGCTGGTAGTGAGGCTTCATCAGCGGATTTGGTTATTGATATATCATGGTTTTGACCAGTTTTTGACCATGATATAAGTCCTTTTTATAGAGTCGTTATGGTATTTTTCGAGTCTTTTAGAGTCTTTGTAGGTTCAGGTACGCTTGGAGCATAACTGGAGATTTTGGGACCTTTTGGAGCTATGTTGAAGATGATGCTGAAAAGACCAACCCGGAGAGCATATTGGAGCAGGGTGTCGATCGACACCAATCGTGGATACAAAGAGACGCGTGTTTCAGCACTTTTGAAGAAAAGAAAACTTGCCCAGAAGTTTACTTATTTATAGTTTTGCCCCAAAACGTGTTTGGGCATTATAAATAGGATTTTAAGATCATTGTTTAGACCTAAGCTTTATTTTATTGAGAGATTAAGAGAGAGATTTTTAGAGAGTTTTTGGAGAGATAAATCATTCTCCTTTAGAGAGGATTTTGAACTCCTTTATTTCTTCTATTGATTTCTCTTATGCTTTCTATTCAAATTATGATTTCTGTTTCATTGATCATGTCTGAGTAGTTGCTTGTTAGGTTTAGGGTTTTTTCAAAGGTGATGATGAATTGCTAGGTTGAATTGAATTGTTAGGATAAAATCATCAGAGTTCTTCATCTTGATTTGTGTTTAATGCTTATTCTAGCTTCATGACCTAGAATTTGATTTTAGGTTGTTTAATAGATGTAGAAACATTGTTAATCACCAGAACTAATTTTAGATGAGCAAAATTCCTATCTGCAAAGGAATTTGGTTTAGGATTTTTGTGAACAATTGAACCTGATTTTAATGCTTGTTTTAATTAATAGGATTTGCAAAGGAATTTGAGATTCTAGGATTTAGACATAGATAATCTCTGCAGCAGAAGTTGATTGATTTTATATTAGTGTTTCAAGTTCAAGAACAGTGCTTAATAAACTCCTAACATTTTGTCTAGATTTACAATTCGGATTCTCCTGCGAATTTCCCAAGGCCTACCGTTTCTCTCTTTGCTTTAAAACCTCCCAATCGATTTGCTGCTTTCTTTTTATTACTTGCATTACATTTATTTAGTTTTCCTTAGCTTGATTTGAACCTAGAATCTAGTGTGCAACAATCTAAGTCCTTGTGGATTCGATCCCTAAGTACTACTGTGATCTCTTAATTGGAGAGAGTAGCTCTAAGGGTTAATTTGAGCATATCAGTTATTCAGAGCTTCTCTCCCTGTTGTTTGCATTTCGTAGCTGCTTTGTTTGTTTGGTCTTCAGTGTGACTCCTTCTACTTCCTCCGATGTGTGTTTTGCTTCAGGTATGGTTCTGCGGTTCTTGCTATGGGTGATGGCTTTGTTGTTAGTTTTTGGTGGGGATTCGGTTTCGAATAGAGGCGGCGAATTTTGCTAGACGGCTAACTTCATTCTGTGGGAGTTGATTCTTGCTGTTTCTGAAGCTCGGGAATGGCAGCCGGAGGCGACTTGCCTGGCTGGCCGAGGAGGCTCCCAGAGTCGTCGGTTTGTGGTTATATGGGTTGTAGCGTTTTCGTTTTTGTGTTTGTCCTTGGAGAAGCTGTAGGCACCGTTTTCTGTGAGGCTTGAGGGCTGGCTTCGTATCGGTTAGCTCGTGGCAACTACGATGAGGACTCGAGTTCTTAAGAATTGCAAGTGCAAATATCCGATGGTTGGTTTATCGGAATCGGTGTTTCGTCTTCGGGAATCTGCATTCAACTACAATGTTTGCATAACTTGTTGTTTATTGTACTCTCTCGTTTCTGTTTGAATTAGACCTAGTATTTTTAGTTTTTTGGTCTTTCTGCTTTCTATGTTTTCTCTGTAATTCTGTCACAAATCCAAAAATGGTATTAAATTTAACATGTTTACCAAAAAAAAAAATCACTGATATATTACGAGATACTTGCAAAAATGACTTAAAATTTGATTTGAATTGCAAATCTAACCCACAAAAATCACCTTCCCAACATTTGCCATTTTGTGTCCAAACAATCCCTCATAGTTTCAGTTATTCACGAAATTACCATTGTTTTTAATTAATTTTATTTATTTCGGAAATTCAATTGACCAACTAATCCTCATCTTCCTCACTTATTTACGAAAATGCCATCATCATCAATTCACCCAACTACCATTTTCAACCAATCTTGAAGCTTTAATGGTGGCAAAAACCCATTTTTGAGTTTGTTGAGCTCATTATTTTCCCTTTAAGCTTCTATTCTTCCATTTCCTCTCTATTTTCTTCCCAAAAACTCTATAATTTGTCTATTAAAAAGTTGAAGTTCATAAAAATTTCTATATTCCGGCGATTTGGTTGTTTGTTGCGGTTGTGCTTCTTTCATTGTGGCTAGGATCAAAGATCTTGACCAGAAAAGAAGCTAAAGGCGAGTAGTAAGTCGGATTTTCAGTCAATTTTGGTGTTTTTCAGTTCTGGGCTCCGAAAGTAGACTTCACTCGGTCCGAATGAAGTCTACTAGTCAACGCCCAAGTTAGTTTTGCAATTGACCGCATGAAAAAGTAGACTTCTTTTGGTCCGAATGAAGTCTACTCCATTTCCTTTGATAACAAAAAAATAGAGTAGACTTCTCGAGTAGACTTCTTTAGAAGCAGGTCATTTTTGCAATTGACCAACCTTTGACTTTTCAGAGTAGACTTCTCTATGAAAAGTAGACTTCTCGCAGGTCATTTTTGCAATTGACCAAAAAGTCAAATATTTTGCAATTGCAAAAATGACCTGCGAGAAGTCTACTTACGAAAGTAGACTTCTCCGAGAAGTCTACTTTTCATAGAGAAGTCTACTAATATTTTGGCAATTGCAAAACTAACCTGCAAGAAGTCTACTTTTATCCGAGAAGTCTACTTTTCTTGTTTTTAAAAAAAAATCATTTATATACAATATATAACGAATTTTTATGATTTTCGTGATCCTAAGCTTCTGTTATTAAGTTTTCTTGCTTATGTATAAGTTTTGCATGTTTATATATTATAGGTATAGTCGAATGAGTTTTCATGTTTTATATGATACTTAGCTTATTAAGAGTAGACTTCTTAGTGTACTATAGAAGTCTACTAAGTAGACTTCATTCGACTTACCGAGAAGTCTACTTATGCAACATTGATGTCTAATGTGGTTTGGATTTGGTTTTTTTTTTCACAGAGAATGGTTCACATACCCGCTGTTTATGGAGAATGGATTAAGACTGAATCAGTTTGGCAGTTCGAGGTGGATAATAACAAAAGAGGGTGGATGTTGTTCTTAAGAGATGGTTGCACACATGTTGAGCTTCTTGGAATGGTGCAAGAGGATTATATGCTGGAAAAGGAAACAAAGGTGGAGTTATCCTATCCCTTACCACCTCAGATGCTTCAACAAATGCCTCCTGATTCTCCGCCTATGTATGTCACAAATGATAGACATGTTCAGAGCTTGATTGAGTTAAGTAAGATGCATGGTGTTCGCCTTTGTGTTTCGAGTAGGATAGTGGACCATGAGAATGATGATGTGGATGGACATGCGTATACGTGCTCTGATGCTGAAGAAGATTGGGATGAAGACGCTAAAGATTGGGATGAAAACGTTAAAAATGAGGATGAAGCTGATAGTTTGAATGAAGATGAAGTTAATCAGAATATGAAAGAAAAGTATGATGACTCAGATGTGGATTACAGTGAGTACGGGAAAGTTAAAGATGAGGATGAAGTTGAGGGTGTAAGAGAGCGTTGTGGTGGTTTTGATCGACTGGATAGTAGTTGGTCGTCTAAAATCTTTGTTAATCAGAGTTTTCCTAGCAAGGAGAAGCTTGTATCTGAGTTGCGATTGATGGCAGTTATGAAGAGATTTACTTTCAAAGTATATAAGTCTACAACGTCTTTGTTTGTAGCAAAATGTTCAGTCAAAGGATGCGTTTGGATGGTTAGAGCGGGTGTGAAGAACGAAGCAAACACATTCTGGGTGACAAAGTATCTGAATGATCATACTTGTTCTGTGATAGACCGGTCAGCTCATCGTAGACGTTGTACACCTAAGTACATTGGGGCTCTGTTTGTGGAACGAGTTGGCATAATCGATGGAATTGTGCCAAAGCATATCAGAGATTCTATGAAGGTGATGTTTGGTCTAAACCTCAGTTACACCACATCTTATAGAGCTTTGATATATGCCCAACAATTGGTGAGAGGAACAGCAGAAGATGGATATGAGAAGCTGCCTTCTTATTTGCGTCAAATTGAGAGAGCTAATCCGGGAAGTGTCACAGACCTTGTATGCGATGATATAGATCGATTTAAGTACCTGTTTATTTCATTTGGAG